CGTGCTGCTTATAGGCGTAAAGAGAGACAGCAACAAAAAGAAACAGTTTCTATAACTTTTCCACAACCTTCGGAGCCAGTGAGCGGGGCGAGGCCAAAGAGTGCAGTTGCCACAGACATGCAAGGAATGCTTAACAAGCTTTGTAAGCCAAAAGATGGATAAATGCTGGAAATGAGACTTTATTATGGAAATGGAACAATTTAGTTTATATGTTTGTAAAGAACTGTTTGTTCTTTTTCTTTTTCTTTTTCTGAAAGAGGTAAAAAATTAAGACTGGAATTTTATTTTTATTCCAGCTGTGTAGCAGGAGGTATTGACTTAAGATTTTATTGAAAGTATAGATTGGAGAGGGAAGAAAGTGAAGGGAAAATTTAAGTGTAAAATGTAAGGGGGGAAAAATATGTAAGCTTAAATGTTGAAGGTGGATAGATTATATTAGATGTATGGAGTGATTAAATGATATATAGTTTTTGAGTAGATGTATTGGTTTTTAATTAATTTTAATTAATTTAATTGCCTTATTAGAGTTAAAGTAGGTATATACTGTTAGTATTATAATTGTTTAGCTAAATTGTAAGTTAGATTTGGAATGATTTGTTTTAGTCCTGTATTTGATTCCGAGAAGCTCAGGGGGGGGAAGGGGGTTAGAAGTATTAAAATAAAAATTGATGTATTCATATGTTATAATTGTATTGATAAGAGGAAGCGCTCGGTTGGTATCCCGGCTTGCACTTGATGAGGTGGTCAGGAAGAGGGGGGATGTAGAAAGGGGAAGGAGGAAGGAGGAGAGGTTGTGGGTTAGAGGTAGGAAGGAAAGGCAAGTGGATGAGGTCGGAGGCAGGTCAGGAACTGCTGAGCGTTTCTGATAATGTATTGAATTGGATTGTTCTTTTTTTGTGTATGTTTGTGTTACAAATGCATCATATTACTTATTGTTTAATTATAAAAATTAATAAAATTTTCTTTAAAAAAAAAAAAGTAACTAGGATATGTATAAGCTAAACATTTATTGATAAGTGTAACAATGCTATTTTTACTTAATTGATATAATAAGAACTGTATTAATTCAAATATGAGACAGTAGATATTAAGGGGAAAAGAGAGGAAATATTTCATGTGGTAGCTTGAGATTTGTACTAAAGATTTTTGTATGTTATTGAATTAACCCAGCCACCACGTTGCTTTTTAAATACTTAAATGTAAAATTAGAAAATTAATAAAATATTATAAAAAAAATAGGTTTATATGTGAAACCTGATTATTATCAAGCATTATACAGATAGTCCTTGCTTAATTACCATTCATCCAGCGATTATACAAACTCACAAGGGTGCTGGAAAAATAACTTTATACCTCATTTACAACTGTTTATGACATATGCAATGTCCCTAGGTCAAATGATTACCATTAGAGTCAACAAGAATTGCTTTGTTCTTACGGATTTTTCCCCCTTGCAGAACAGAGAAATTGGAAAGGTGTTTCAAGAGAGTAAGCTGTTTGCTCTTCTACACATCGAAAGCAATGTAATCACAATCTCTCCTTTGTCTGACCCTTTCTCCCCCCTCCGCAGGGAAGATTGGAGAGGAAAAGCTTTCAAAAGGGAAAAATCAGTTTGTTCTACATAGCCCGGCAGCAGGAAAGAGTCAGAGATTGCCTACAGAAATCACTTGTTGTTTTTTTTTCATTCCTCCCCCCCCCCCATCAGAGCAAAGTCTGGAGAGAAACAGATTTCAAGAGAGCGCTGTAAGCTGTTTGCACAAAACATCTGCAGCATTGAAACCCTGGGCTGTGGTGCAATCACATTACTTTAGAGACAATAAAAAGGCACTCCAGCATTTGGGGAGTGGTTAGGAGGCGAACAAAACCAAAACCAAAACCAAAGATGTGAAACTGACTCGTCTCTTTCTGACCGAAAAGCAATTGTAGTGATGTGACTTTGTGGTCATCCCACTTAGGGATCATTTTGCTTAGTGGTGGAGTTGCTGGCCCCAATTAGGGTCTTTAAGCGACTACTGTAAATGTAAAGTAACATCTTCATTTGATCCCATATTTGCCAATCAAGGCAGGAAAATTAGTTCAAAGCAAGAGGACACCTGACAAATATTCATTTTACCTGAAAATAAACAAGCTGCTCCCCCACCTTTCAGTTTTTATTAATTTTACTTACTATATTTTTTCTTTAAAAAAGTTCACTTTAAAAAGGTAAAATGATGTTTCCTTTATTTTTTTATACAAACTCCTCCCATAAACAAAACACAGAACTGTATCCCAGAATAATTTAAAAAGGGAGAGAAAAAAAATTGAAAAGGCAGGGAGGCCTGAGCAGTCCAACTGGTCCACAGTAGAAAAATAAATCTTAAAAGAGGAGGGGAAGGAGGGGAGCAGTGGGAATAAGAGGAAGAGGACAGTCTCCCAAAAGCTGTATTTTCATAGCACGATACGTTTCTCTGGGGTGTAGACTGTATAATAAGTGACCAGTTCCCATGATTTGGAGGGAAGGAAGCAAAAAAAAACCAAAAACAGAATATAAATATATATTTGAATTGGGGGAAAACAGCAGCCAACTTTCCCCCACAAGAGGAAACTGGGAGAGGAAAGGATTACATTCAGAAACTCCATACATTCACCAAGAAAGGCAAGGGTACAAATGATGGAAGTCAACATTTATCCTGGAGCTACGGCGACTCCCGGTAGTGTTTCTTGTGGACTATCCAACTGCAGAGGCTTGAAGAAAGGGAGGGGGGGGGTATGAGGAAGAAGAGGAGGAGGTGAGAGGGAAAGAACAGGCCAATTTCTCAACAACCCAAACATGACCAAAGTAGTGCAGACTGAGGGGTTGAAAGCTGATAGCAGAACCCCAAGAGGGGTCATGTACCTAGATTGGGTGGGGAGAGGGGGGTAAGCAAAAGTGAGGCTCACGCCATACCCAGGGAAAGGGGGCAGGAAGAACTAGGGGATGAGACCCATCCCTACCTCAAGGATTTCTCAAGGAAAGTCTAGAAGTCTATTGTGTGTTCAAGCCCATCTGGTACCTATAGTCAGCCTCAGATCTTCCACCTAGTAATGGTTAGAGCAGTGGTTCTCAACCTTCCTAATGCAGCGACCCTTTAATACAGTTCCTCATGTTGTGGTGACCCCCAACCCCCCATCCAGCTGGCCAGGGAGGGGGGAAGGCCGTTCCGCCATCTCCGCCCAGCCTGGTTGGAGAAGCGCCCAGGCGGGGAGAGGGAGGGAGGGAGGGAGGGAGGGAGGGAGAGAGAGAGAGAGAGAGAGAGAGAGAGAGAGAGAGAGAGAGAGAGAGAGAGAGCGCCAAGAGGAGGGCAAGGAGATAGAGGAGCGGTGTCTCAGTTCCTAAGACCATCGGAAATATGTGTTTTCCGATGGTCTTAGGCGACCCCTGTGAAAGGGTTGTTCGACCCCCAAAGGGGTCCCGACCCACAGGTTGAGAACCACTGGGTTAGAGCAAAAGGGCTTGTTCCCTTATTTTTTTTCGTTATCGCCACTGGGTTCAAACAAATGAGTACTGGTTGTTCACAGCCCTGGCTCGCCCTTCTGACTCCTCTGGCAGAGGAAGGGATCCCCCGACTCTCACCGATGCTCCCTCATCCACCTCTGGCTCCATCTGGGCCTCCTCCTCACTCTGCCCTTTAGACTCCAGCAGTCCATGGTCCAGAGGAGCATGAGGTGGCCGGGCTGGAGGGAGAGGAGGCGGCAGTGGCAGGTTACGAGAGATGCTCGGCTCTGTGGAGGGAGAGAAGAGGCAGATGGACAGACAGAGAGACAGGATGGTCTGGGGTTAAGGTAGGAAGAGGGAATAAACACTGAGAGCCAGTATTATTTCAGCAAGACATTCTCCTCCATGAACAGATTCAGCATCAACTACGTTATGGTATCCAATGCTTGTCAAATGCCCCAGTTCAGGAATTGTCTGGAAAGGGTTATATTGTGTTGATTTGGCTTCTAAAACCTGTTTTTTCTGCAGTAGCCCCCGAATGAAATCAAGTTACTATTGTTGAAAGACTGTATAAAGACAAGGGCTGATTAATATACCTTGGGGCTGTGCTCCACATTTTAAAAAAGTTACACAAAAATAGGTCTTTTCTATAATCCATTACAATATGCAAAATTGGCGTAGAGCATAGTGCTTCTGCATAAAACGAGCTTAAATCATTTGTAAAGCAATCCTTTGGTTAGTCAGGTTCCTATTCCAGGAACCTTGTGCAAACTGATTATACCAGATTGCACACTCTGCACATGCACAAAAGCACAGACCTTTTACACATGTGCAAAAATGGGCCCATTATGTTTTGAACTCTATCCTTAAAATCAGGTTTACTTAAGTCAGGACTTATGTGGGTCAGAAATTGTTTGAACTAGATTATTATTAAGACTATCACCTACTCAAAACAATCCTATTTAATTTTAGATAACTTTACTGTCAGTCTACAATTTTTTTAAGGACATAAAGCTCTCTGAACTATCATTCAACAAGGTGAAATCCTAAGCTATTGTAATGTATTAAGTTTTTTTCTTATTTGATAGATACCATTCAGAGACTGCAATTCCAAATATTAATAGAAAAAGGTGGATAATTATGGAGAGATGGAAGGCATGATAAATTGCCAGCATTGAAATTCTGTCCATTATTCTATACCAGCATGTCTCAACCTCAGCAAATTTAAGAGGTGTGGACTTCAACTCCCATAATTCCATAACTGCCTGGCTGAGGAATTCTGGGAGTTGCAGTCCATACATCATAAAGTTGATAAGGTTGAGAAATACTGCTCTATACACTTCTCACAGAATAGTGGCAATATACTGTGAAATATGAGCACTAGAACACAATTTTCCAGTGAAGAGAGAATTTCAAATACTTCTAAAATTAGAAGGGATTCTTCATATATTTTATGCTGGCAATATTAGATAATTCATTCATTAAACTACTTTAAGGAATGGCTAAATATACCAGGTGAAACCATAATATGGTTTATTTTGTCCTATGAAACTCCAACCTACATAATAAATGCTGAAGATTCTACTGTTTAAAGTTGGGAAAACTGACAATTTTTAAAAGCATAAATGTTTAGACTCCGTTACAAATATGTGCTATTTCAGAAATATGGTGTACCTTTCTTTTTTCTCCTCTACAAGGGAATTGTAGACAATACCTATGCGATATACTGTACCTACCTTATTTCTGTAACATATTTAGGAGATATAAGACTTTTCAATTATGGATACCTTCCTGTGCTTCATAGTGGGGACAAAAGTTAAGGCAATCGTGTTGGCCTTTTTTTCACTCTCAATTGCCCTAATAAACTTTTCTCAAACCTAGAATTCATTAGATGCCTTGGATTATAACTCTCATTAACACCAGCAAATGGGGAAGACAGTCTAACCCAAACCATTTTGAAGGATCTGGTTGGTCAAAAACTGGTTTAATAAATAGTATTCTTCATGTTACATGATAACCCTGCCCGGGAGGGGAGGGGAGGCAAAGAGGGAAATACCACCAAATTCAGGATTGTTTCAGCCACCTGAGTTAGTAAATTTCTAGAAGAGGGGAGTAAAAGAGGCGGCACTACTCTATTATTTGGAGTTTGGGTAGATAATCTTTAACTTTGGGCTGTTTGTCACAGGTGAGGCTTTTCTGCAGAGTTCTGCTATATCTAATACAACTGAATTATAGAAGGAGTTGCCCAGATGATAATTGAAACAATAGTTCTAAGATCCCCCTCTACAGAACAAGAGAAGTTGCCTTATGCCAAACCAGACTATGGTTCCATTCAGTTAGAGAAACTATTAGTGACTCTTCGGGGTTCTGTACAGAAGCCTTTCTTAGTCCTACCTGGAAATGCCAGAAGGAGCACCTGAAATCTCTTCCCTGCCTCCTGGTGTCAGACACAGTGGATGGCGTAGACACTGCATTCACATGACCCATGGATAGTGATGGCTATGGCGTGGGGGCCGTGACACACGCACACACACGGTCATATCCCTGCATTCCTCCTGTGGTAGCTATTGCACACTTACACGCAGTCACCCGCGGAGGCAGCAGCAAGGATGGAGATGAGGTTGGGGGGCGAGTCGGGGTCCCCACTGAACCCAGACACTGGCGCTCGGCTCCCAGCCCGGTCCCGGCCTGTGACAGAGATGCCCACATCAGAAATAGGGATTGGGGGTGAGGAAGAGAGGGAGCAGCGAACATGGGGGTGAACGGGTTTATCCTCCCTCCTGCTACATGCATGCCGCATAGGGCTGGAAGAGAAGGCTGGACAAGGAGTGGAGTAACAAAGGAGGGGCAGACTGGAACGATAATGGAAAAAGATGGAGGGAGATGGAGCATGACATGGACTAGCAATCATGTCTATGCTCTTTCCACCCCGCAGCCCCACTTCATCCTTCACTCACCATGCAGACTTTGCGAAGCAACCACATAGCTGACAAGTGTCACGTCACTGGAGCCCCCTGATTCGAGGGGGATGGGGTGGACCCGGAAGTGCTCCAGCATGTCAAAAATAGTCTGGAACCAGAGATGCTGAACACGGCACTGCCCTTCTTCGTTCAAGGAGAGGCGCAGGTGCTAGGGGTAGGAAAAGGAGGCTGGGTGGGAAACTTCTCCTGACCAAGATTCCTGTTCTGTCCCCCGTCCGACTCACACACCCCAACCAGTCAGCCGAGGGTTAAAAGACTGCTCAGCACTGCCAAAAACACGGATAAACACTTGGCAGCAACTCCGTGGCTGCCTGCCAAGACCTTTACTGATAACTCACAGTATAAATACAAATCAAAGTCCAGGATAATTCCGAAGTGCTACAACAGAAGATTCAGTATTGTTCGTCACAAGAGTTGCAAACGGCACACCCCTTGCTTATATAGCCTGTGGGGGTGTGGCCCAGTGACTCAGCTGAAATCTCTGGCACGACGTTTTAGCTGCTGCGCACGTTTGTCCCTCCGACGCTGTCGTGGATCCAGCCAAGACGTATCCTCCTCAGAGTCCGACACACCTGGCTCCTGGCCGATCCCAGAAACACCTGGCTCCTGGCCAATCTCCTCTCCGTCGGAAGACACCGAAGGCCGCACCAGAGGGGAAGGTCCTGGAGAGGGAGGCCTGGCCATCTCCTCTCCTTCATGTTCAGAGCCTTCCTCCTCCGATGATAGGGACCCACAGGACGGAGCCACAACAATTCCAGCCTATCCTCTCCCAAGGCCTCCAACTCTTGAGGCGAGATGGGAGTCATGGAAATCTAATAAATAAATAAAATAAGCACCCTTTGATAGATTCCCCCGCTACACTCACCTTGGCTTTCCCCTGGAAGTTAAAGGTCAGGACATATTCACCCCGCCGTGTCTCACTTTGACGCACTAAGAAGACGCCATGGCTGCTTGCTCCTCCTGCCAACACCAACTGGGCGGCTTTGAGACGGGACAGGGTGCCATGGAACCATGGGTATTCAGAGAGTGGGTGCTCAGTGTCACCCAGACTACCCCCACCCGGGTCGGGTTCCCCTTGGAAGAGGAAGGAACCTGAGCAAGGAGAAAAGCAACAGAAGAGGGCCAAAGCTCACTCAGAGGAATCTGGATCTCGCTTCCACAACATTCAACCCAAGAGATCCTGAAGTTGCATGGCCCAAGGAAACCTTGACCGGATGGCATACAATTTCAGAGGTTATCTCAGAAGAAGAAAGTTCAGGCTAAGTGATACAAACCCTGCCCACTCTGGGCTTGTCCATAGGGACCGCCGACTACTGTTTCTCCTCCACCATTATGCCATTCCCAATAGGAGCTCCAGGGGTGGGGGTGGGGTGATTCCTCTGGCCCTTCCCTAATCTAGACCAAGCACCAACTCATCAACACTTCAAAGCATTACCTGTGGTTTCAGGGGTTTCTGGGAAAGTTGTATGGAGGAAGCCAGTGGAAAATTGCCCTTCATTGACTGGCACCCGAGGCAGCAGTTGAGGAGGCGGCAGCTCCATTGAATCAAAGTGTGAGGCAGCAATAGAGACTGAGCTGGGAGACATGGAGGCTGAGGGACGTTCCATCAATCCACCGTAGGCACCTGGAAAGGAAACGTTACAAGCTGGGCTGAGCTGGAAAATCATACTTCCTGTTCCATCTTCTAAAAACCAGATCATTTCCTCTTCCAAGGTTCATAACTACACTTTGTACCTATACCCCAAAGGAGGAGGTGTCTTTGCCATCCCCGCAAGAGAGCACATGCTCTGTGCTTATTTCCCATTTTTTTTAATCTACAGCAAACAATAGCACCTAGCTGACCTTGGCAGATTCTGAAAAAAGTTAAGAAAGGCCAAAGCCGATTATTATTTGGGTGGGAGACCATCAGGAAACTCTACAACTGTAGGCTTGATTGGAAGTTGAACACACACTGCAGAAGACAACCATGGAAAAGCACTTCTATATTATTGCCGATAAGCTTGATTTCAGGGATTTTTTAAAAATCTTTACCTGTTTTTCTTGGGAAATTAGTAGCGTTTTACCAAAGTTTTATGTGGGGTTTTTTCCCCCATAAATATCAAATCCTGGATTTAATACTAATTTGCATTTTTCTCACATGCTTATTTTTAAGGTGTAGTTTGTGCCTGAAAGCTGTTTTTGGTATAATGTGTAAAAAAAAAAATCATACTAAATAAATCTTACTGGTAATCAGCTATTGCCGGATTGTCACAGCATCCTATAAGGTACAAAGATTCAACTAAAATTTACTGACTCAAGGTCACGCAAGAAGCTTCTTATCTACCTGGGATTTGAACTCTGGTCTCCCCAGTTCTGATTTCACAATCACGCCCTATGATGGCTCCACCTACTTTTTAAACAATCTAGAAAATTCTTCTTGATTAAAAAAAACCCTTTTTTAAAAGTTTTTATTTTTAAAAAAAAAATTCCGTCCAATATTTAAATGGCTTAGGAGAAACCTCTATGGTATCTTTGCTTAGTGTAGCTCAGGGGTCTTTGAACTTGGCCCTTTTATGACTTGTGGACTTCAACTCCCAGAATTCCTCAGCCAGCATGCCTGGCTGAGGAATTCTGGGAGTTGAAGTCCACAAGTCATAAAAGGGCCAAGTTCAAAGACCCCTGGTGTAGCGGTAAACTGATCTAGACAGAAGTTTCAGAAGCCTACTATGATATTTCCTCTGTTTAAGACAATTCTTAGCTTCGTATTAGTCAATTATTAATATGTCATTTTCCCATCAATATTCACTGTTATTTTAATTAGTCAACCGCAGAAAACAAGGACAGGTAAAGGAATGAAAAAACTCCAGTTTCATTATTCATACTAAAGGAATAGTCACTTGGATTCCAGCAAGCCTGCATAGTGGGCCTGATTGTCTAATCTTTCAACCAGCTATAGCTAGACCTATCAGATACAGGTGGTCCTCGACCTATAACCATTTGTTTAGCTGCCATTCAAAGTTACAACAGCAGTGAAAAAAGTGTCTTACGACCAGCTTTCACACAAATGTTCCAGCATCCCCAGGGTCATAGAATCAAAATTCAGGCACTTGGCAAGTAGCATGTATTTATGACAGTTCTACTGTCCTGGGATCATGTGATTACAATTTGTAACCTTCCCAGATAGCTTTCAGCAAGCAAAGTCAACGGGGGAAGCCAGATTTGCTTAATGAACACATGATTTACTTAACAACTGCAGCCATTCATTTAACAGCTGTGGCAAAAAGGTCGTAAAATGGGGCAAAAGTCATTTAACAATTGCCTTGCTTAGCCACGGAAATTTTGGACTCAGTTGTGGTCATAAGACAAGGATTATCTGTATCACAAAATACACTCTATTACCAATGGTAATAGACTCCAGGCAGGCCAATGGAGAAAAGTCTTGCCATCTCATCTCAGTTGGACAAACTTTATGGAAAGTTTCACTTCACTGTTTGTACACTTAGTTAACAAAATCAGCATTATCTTTAAATATATATTTCCTGGCTGCCAAATATGGGTTCATATAACATTCATGAAGAAATAAATCACTGAAAAGACATATAATTCTACTATAGTATTACCATAAATGATATTTTATGTAGTGGAAAAAGCCAGAACTCTGATTACAACCTAAAACTACACTCAGGGATAAGCAGATTAATGGATTAGCCAATCCACAATTTTTTTAACCAAAATGCCATGAAAAATGCGCCACTAGTGAATAAGCCAACCCTCAAAATGTTTTGTATGTTTTAATTTTCACAATTGGGGTTACTCAAGGGGAATTCATAGATTATCCATTTTTCATGTATACTGCTTAAAAATTTGAAGATCAGCTTATCTGCAGATGGACTTATAAACAAGTATAATTGGGATATACCCAAATAAGTCATATTACCTTATTACCTATGCCTGCTGGCTAAGATATTGCACAGTAGAGCTTTTCAGAGAATGCCGTCCTTGAGAGAAGCATTCTGTAGCATGTTCCACTGCAAACAGATTGCCTGCACAAAGACATCATTGGAAAGCCTCTTTGTCCTTACCGAGAGATCAAGAAGGTATACATTGTGCCAAATACACACCTTGGCTGAGCTGTTCGTTGCTCTCACTCGGCACCATGGGAAGTTCCCGGCTGGGCATGCTATCTGAGTGGTTCATGCATGGCTGCTCCAGGCTATCAGTGCTTTCTCTGTGGAGACAAGTATCATTAGGAATGTTTCCATATTCCAAGATCACATATACCTAACAATTTGATGTTGGCCACAGCAAAGAAAGATTCTAACGCTATGCATCTGATAGTGAGCTACAGCTCACAAATGCTTATGCCTTTTAATAATAGGTATTAGATGGAAAAGGGGCCACCAGACAACTTTTGATTTTTGCCACCACACAGCACTTGACACACATTTTTCCTACACTATTAAACCCCATTTGTGAGTTTTCCAGAGGCATTAGCTTCTACTGTTGGAAGCAAAAAAACCAAGATAACCTGGAGCTCTTATCCGATCGCTTGTTTTAAGGAGCAAGAATCATGTACCTGTTCCACAGCCATCCAAACCTCAGGGTTGCACCCCTGTTCAATGAAGGTATAGTAAGAACATTATTGTTAACACCTGCATATCTGTTCTCTCTCTCACTCTTATCCTAATCTTCCTTCCACCAGCTCACGAGAAACGGCTTTATAGAAAACTGGGTAATGAATCATATTGTTTGTTATTATATCCCCAGTCTGTGGAGAAAGGACCAAGCAGTGTTGCCAATAACAAGAGATGATGGAGCTGTTGTCTAAACATCTGAACAGTTACACATTTTCCACACCTGATCTACTTTAGAGAACCAGCAACTCTACAGAGGGAAAATCTTGGTCCCCCATCAAGTTTTTGTTAGGCCATATAACTCTTCTCTCTTTACTTGTTGACTGAATCTGGGAAACCTGTATACTAGGTATTCTACCACTGAGCTATGGCTTTTCTTGACGCTTAGGGCAACTTACCCCAGGCCCATGCATTCCTGAATGTCAGCCAACCATGACCGCATCTGCAGTGAGTCAACAGTCTCAAGGATGTATTCCAAGGAACTTGAGAGCTTGGAGGAAGGGGGAAAAATAATAAATATACAATACTATAGGATGGTTTCTATTCTAAAGCCGTTTCCCTCTGAAATGAAGAACTCATATCAGTGAGGGTAGACCCCCAACCTCAGCTGATATTATGAAGTTTATTGCAAACATGATATCAAAAATTGAGAAACATTCAATTGAACTGAATTGAATGAAGACCTGGGTCCCCATCCCATTCGCTCTCTCAGTTTTGGCTTTAGTACAGCTTTTAATAATACTTCAATCTGGTCGTTTTAATGTTTTAATATTTTAATTATTTTTACTTGTTTTATACCTTGCAAACTACCCGGCGACACTTTGCAGGAGAGACAGGTGGCATAAAAAATTAATAAATAAATAAAAATAAATTAATTTTCAAGAATCATGCATGCCCATAACCACAAATCAAATCCAAGGACTTAATCCATCTGTTCCTATCTTAAAGTGGTTACATACATATACACACACAAAATATCAAGACCTTCATCTCTGGCCTTTGACAGAAGGGCACCAACACTGATCAAAGTCAGCAACCAAAAAGATATTTTAGCAGCTGCTTAACCCTCCCCTCATTCAGCTGTGATTTCTTTGCTAGATGTGTTTGTGGTTATCTGCATTCCATTGCTTGAATTCTCAAAGGTTTTAAAATTTAAGAATCACCAAGAACCCAAACTCCTTTCTCCAACATGCATACTGATCTAGTTACATCATTTAAGAAGCCATTTTATATACAGAAGGAGAGATGTATTCCTCTCCTCCCAAGGACATTAAAAAGTTTGAAAGGAAATCTGCTCAGAAACATCACCACTGCCAAATGGAGGCAGCACAGCTGGAGAGGGACGATAGAAAGGACCCATTAATTTTCTCTTATGATAATGCAAGAGGCAAGAAACAGACAACTGCTAAAAACAAACTCCAGCCAGAGATTAGTAATGGATAACTGATTCAACAAACAGAAGAGGAAGTTCAGTTCTATCCATCCCTTGGCTATAGATACATAACTACTACTTCAATTATTACCAAATCTTAACTGTACCCCATCAGTCTTTTTCTGACCTTCAGCACAAAAGTGTTCTCTTTGTCTGGCATCTCCAGTGGAGTTGTTGTCCGCACATCCATTACACAGGAACAAGCAATGCTGACCCGGGGCTTTGTTGCCTGATGGTTGGGGTAGAAAAAAAAGACTGTCATAACAATATTCTCAAGGCCTCAATTAGGAATCCCAAGCTTTTGACTTTTCCCCGTGACTTTTCTCTTGCCTGAACACAATGACTCATTGCTCACCTTTGGTGGGATGTAGAACTCCAACAGGTAACCCTCCCCTTCTCCCTTCCCTGCTTTGCGCAGGAGAAGACGGCATTTCTGCCAGCGTGTCCTACTGCCCCCGCCTGACCCATCATCAGCCACAATGTAGTTCAGTAGGCCTTCACGGCGCACACTAGCCAGTTCGACTCGCACAGTGGCTGGGGAGGCTCTGTTGAGGCGAAGACGTTCAAATCGGTGAGTCCAACGCTCTGAGTCACCGCCCCCCGATGAATTGGAATTAGTGTTGGCTCCAGTGGGTGTCCCATCTCCACCACCAGAGGATGATTCAGCTGACGTCTTCCACTGCAGAATGCCACGCACACTACCTCGGACACTGCGGCTAACACTGCGCAAAGAAAAGCGCTTCTTCAGCTTTGGCTTCGTAGCGGTAACAGCTGCCACAGTAGAAACATCTTCAGAGCTGCGGGACTGGCTGCTAGAGAGGCCAGAGGGTGGGCCCAATGGAGGCTCAACAGGGGAAGCCACCGAGGAGTCACTGCAGGTCTCAGAGAGGTCCCGTGCAGAAGAACAACCGGTGAAAGGGGCAATGTCACAGCGGGGTGGCGAGTCACTGGTGTAAGCCCGGCTCACCTCAGCCTCGAAATGTTCTAGGAAGTGCTCTGCAAAGCGGTGTGAGAAAGCAGCTTCAGCTCCTGGGGTGGCAAACTGGGGGTTCTCGCCAAGGAAGGTCCGGAAACGACGGGCAAAATCAACTGCAGCAGCGCGAGCATGGACTTCGCAGAATTCCCGCCAACCCAAGGAGGGAAGAGAGGCAGGTTCTCCCACCATTCCTCCGCCAACTGGTGACAATGACAGGGCGCTTCCGTTCATGACCGCCCAGGTAGAGCTAGGTAACAATACATCCAGGGCCAGGATTGGGTTGCTATTGGTATCAGTGGTTTTGTGACCTGAAGAGGGAGAAACAGAATAGTTATTATATAAACTACAGGGAAGAAACCATCTGCATAAATAATGTCCTTTCAGGGATTTGCTTATCAACCAACCATTTCCTCTTCATGCATGTTTCTTACTAATCAATAGAGGGGGGGGGTTTGTCTTTGATTGAGAACTGTAACTGCTAACACCTTTACACTTCTGAGCATTTCACACATGCTTAAAGGCTTAAGATACCACTCTTAAAAACCAAAATAATAGAAGAGTCAGAATATTTTAAAAATAACATAATGAAGAGAGCCACTTTTCCATCAGAAACATAATTGGAGAAAAAATGGAAACAAGGAACAAAAAATTGCCTAAAAGAATGGTGTAGAGCTTGCACATTTTGCGGTAGCAGAAGCAATACTGTCTAGATCAGGGCTTTTCAACCAGTGGTACAGGTACCACCTGTGGTACATTGGCACCTGGCAGGTGGTACGCGAAAAGTGGTAGCGGGGGAGGGGAATGAGCTGAACCGGTGGCAGCACCGCACAAGCCTGAGCGAGAGATGGCTGGAGCTGCAGGGCTGTCAGGGCTCAGCAGAAGCGCCAGGATCAGCGCTTCTTCAGGGCTGTCAGGGCTCAATGGAAGCATCAGGATCAGCGCCAGGCTCCAGCTGGAGCTCGGCGCTGATCCTGGCACTTCTGCTGAGCCCAGAAGAAGCGCTGATCAGCTGGAATGTTGCAGCATTTCGAGGGTCTTGTGATTTACATTCAGATGCTTGGCAACTGATTCATATTTATGACAGTCACAGTGTCCCAGGCTCATGTGAAGTGACCAAAACCTGCTGCAACCACCCAGCAGATTGGGGGGGGGAATAAAAACCAAACACCCCCCACCCCCCCTGCCAATCCTCAACAGAAATGCTTACAACAATGGAAACCTCGGACAGGAGGAAGAGCGCTGCCAGGCGGGCAGGCAGATGTCTTGCTCGGCTGTGGCTTGGGGGGCACTTTTTCAGTGCCATTGTAACTTCGAACAGTCACTAATCGAACTGTTGTAAGTCAAGGACTACCTGTACTTCATCACTTTTTTCCCTTTTTTTTTGGTCATCAAGATTTTGGATATTGCCATATCCTAAAAGTGGTACAATGGGTGAAAAGATTGAAAAGCCCTGGTCTAGATAATTGGGCTAGCTAAAAATAAGCACTGTTCCTTAGTGAAACCAAAGCTAAATATTTTTTTCTGAAATGTCTCTGGACAAAATAAATTTCTAAGACTGAATCATTAAGCCAAGTATCATCCTATATTTATTATATGGATGTGGGAATGGGAAATTACAGACCTATCAGCCTGACCTCAATACCTGGGAAGATTCTGGAAAAGATAATCAAACAACGAATCAGCGAACACCTAGAGGCAAACAAAGTCATTACTAAAAGCCGACATGGGTTTGTCAAAAACAGATCATGCCAGACAAACCTTATTGCATTCTTTGACCAAGTGACAAAATTAGTGGATCAGAGGAATGCTGTGGATATAATTTACTTGGACTTCAGTAAGGCATTTGATAAGGTAGATCACAACCTACTACTCGATAAGATAGAAAAATGTGGGTTAGACAGCATCACCACCAGATGGATTCGTAGCTGGCTGACCGGCCATACTCAGCGTGTGGTCCTCAATGGAACCGCATCTACATGGAAGGAAGTGTGTAGTGGGGTGCCCCAGGGCTCTGCTCTAGGCCCAGTGCTCTTCAACATCTTCATCAATGATTTGGACGAGGGGATAGATGAGGAACTCATCAAATTTGCGGATGACACCAAGCTGGCAGGAATAGCCAACACTCCAGAAGACAGGCTTAAGATACAGGAGGATCTGGACAGACTTGAACACTGGGCGCTATCTAACAAAATTAAATTCAATGGTGAAAAAAGTAAGGTTCTACATTTAGGCAAGAAAAACCAAATGTACAGGTATAGTATAGGGCAGGGCTTTTCAACCTTTTCACCCATTGTGCCACTTTTAGGATATGGCAACATCCGAGTACCACCAGTCGCCTAGCAAGGTGTCAAAAACTTGATGACCCCCCAAAAAAGAGGAAAAAAGTGATATAGTACAGGTAGTCCTCGACTTACAACAGTTTGCTTAGTGACTGTTCGAAGTTACAGTGACACTGAAAAAAGTGCCCCCCAAGCCACAGCCGAGCAAGACACCTGCCTGCCCGCCCGGTGGCGCTCTTCCTCCTGAGGTTTTCATTGTTGTGAGCATTTCTGTTGAGGATTGGCAGGATGGGGGGGGGAGTTTGGTTTTTATTCCCCCCCCCATCTGCTGGGTGGTTGCAGGAGGTTTTGGTCACTTCACATGACCCTGGGACACTGTGACCATCATAAATATGAATCAGATGCCAAGCATCTGAATGTAAATCACAAGACCCTGGAGATGCTGCAACATTCCAGCTGATCAGTGCTTCTTCTGGGCTCAGCAGAAGTGCCAGGATCAGTGCTGCTTTCCAGCTGATTGGTGCTTCTTCAGGGATCAGCAGAAGCACCAGGATCAGCGCCGAGCTCCAGCTGGAGCCTGGCGCTGAACCTGGTGCTTCTGCTGAGCCCTGACAGCCCTGCAGCTCCAGCCATCTCTTGCTCAGCCTTGTGCGGTGCTGCCACCGGTTCAGCTCATTCCCCTCCCCCACTACCACTTTTCTAGGATGGTCGCGTACCACCTCCCAGGTGCCAATGTACCACAGGTGGTACCCGTACCACTGGTTGAAAAGCCCTGGTATAGGGGGTACCTTGCTCAATAGTAGTAACTGTGAGAGGGATCTCGGAGTCCTAGTGGACAATCACTTAAATATGAGCCAGCAGTGTGCTGCAGCTGCCAAAAAAGCCAACACAGTGCTGGGCTGCATTAACAGAGGGATAGAATCAAGATCACGTGAAGTATTAATACCACTTTACAATGCCTTAGTAAGGCCNTTGGGTATGTCTAGTTTAACGAAGAGAAGGACGAGGGGGGACATGATAGCAGTGTTCCAATATCTCAGGGGCTGCCACAAAGAAGAGGGAGTCAAGCTATTCTCCAAGGCGCCTGAAGGCAGGACGAGAAGCAACGGGTGGAAACTGATCAAGGAGAGAAGCAACCTAGAACTAAGGAGAAACTTCCTGACAGTTAGAATAATTAACCAATGGAACAACCTGCCTCCAGAAGCGGTGAATGCTCCAACACTGGAAGTTTTTAAGAAGAGACTGGACAGTCATTTGTCTGAAATGGTGTAGGGTTCCTGCCTGAGCAGGGGGTTGGACTCGATGACCTCCAAGGTCCCTTCCAACTTTATTATTATTATTATTATTATTATTATTATTATTATTATTATTATTATTATTATTATTACTTTTGTATAAAAGACTCTCAGGGAAAAAACAAAAATTGGTAAAATATAAACTGCAGTACATTGGCAAGCTTCCATTAGATTAACAGTCCCTTGCTGGGTATAGAGACTTTTCCAAAGAATACTGGGCCCAATTATATAGTGATCTTAATTTACACTATATTTTTGATAAAGAATACATACTCCTGAAAGTTATACTTCTTTTGCAAATTTAAATACATTTGTCAAAATGATGTTTCTAGCAAATTTCAGATTCATCCCCAAAAATAGACAAAACAAAAGATTATGCCTACCTCAAGAACATGTGCAGTATAGTTCTTACTATAGTATTTCCCCTGCTTGAAATCATTTTTACACAGAGCACCTGCATATCAAAACTTTTAAGGTTTTATTTACACGGAGGGAGTTTTCAGTCTAAGCATGTCTTTTCAAATCAGTGACCTATTTGCATTTCCAAAATGTCAAAACTTCAAAAAAGGAACTGTATCCTCAACTATCAACTCATTTGGTAAAGCATATATCTGTGAAGGTTTCATGCAAGAACCTAAGTCTTTCCACAGTGGAGCTAACTCTCAAAAGCTATTTGTATGATTATGCAATTCAATCTTCCCTTGTTCTTTAAATTTGAGATTAGTCAAAATGTTGTGGTCTCACAAAAGAGACTTATCTCTGTTGTCGCTTAGGAAAAGCCTAGGTCACTTTATTTTCATCCCATCATTATTATTTTTTATAAATAACTCAAACCAGCGAACATACCTAAAACTCCTTCCTACTATTTTCCCCCCAACAATCCTGAGGTAATTTGGGCTGAGAGAGCATCAAGGGCCCCAAGTTTTCATGGTTAAGGCAGGACTGGAATAATTTATTATATTCGATAGTACTTGAACTATTTTATAAACTATTTTCTAGACCTTTGGTTTTTAAACTGAGAGTAACTACTATCCAGTTCAACAACATGCTGAACCTTCCTTGAAATGTGCCTTTCTTTGAACACGGATCAACATAAGTAGGAAAACATGTATCTAATGAAGAACAAGATAAATGTTGTGGGATGGTCCTGCCCGTATGGAAAAAGTTCCCACAACTGAACATTTGCCGTGGCCTCATTTAGCAGTATCTTTTAGGCATGCAACCGAAGACCTAGAAATGCCATTAAATATAGGGATTTTTTTTTGCACGAAAAGCCAAAGGTCTGAGATGAGGTACTTTCTGTGGTTTAGGCACTGAAGGAAAAAATTGACAGGAGGGAGCAACACCACTAAATAGCTAAAGATATTGGAGTGGGACCAGGTTCTCTGCAAGCTGGACTGGAAACGCGGGAAGGGACAAGCCAAGGGAGAGGCGGGAGTTGCTTCTCACATTCATTGCAAAGACAGGGCGTTACACTCCTTAAAAGACCTCCCGCGTGTGGGTGAGCCGATTCACATGACGTGGCTCCTTTTCCCGCCCCGCTCCTGCGACCGGAAAAGCCCCGCTTGGCGACCTGCTGCACTCTTCGGAACTTGCCCGCCCTTGAGCGCCGTTGGTGGGAAGCAAGGAGTCGCTGGACTGATAAGCCTCCCAGTCG